GCTGTGGAGACGCCTCTGAGCTGGGAACTCGCTTGGCATATGGCTGGCAGGGCTTGCGCTGTCGCGCTGGGCCCAGGCCGGATGGAAATCCATCACCAGCAGCCAAGCCTGCAACTGGCGACGCACAGAGCCCAGTCTTGGCGGTCTGTCTCCTCCCCAGGGTGATTCCCAGTCCAGCGCTGCCTGGAAAGCACCAGGTGCATTTGGTCTGGGTTTGATGAGATGTCTCTTTTTGTTTGGCTTTTAAAAACCAGACAAGAAGTACTTTGGGGACAAACCCATTGTAATGCCAGATAAAGGTATTGTGAAACAGCAGGGCTCCTGCCTGTTTAAAGGTATTGTGAAATAGCAGGACCCCTGCCTGCAATACTGAGTGTGTGTGCAGGGCTCTGTATTTGTGTATGATACAGATAGGTTTCCAAGAACTTTACAACACACACACACACACACACACACACACACACACACAGAGAGAGAGAGAGAGAGAGAGAGAGAGAGAGAGAGACATTTGGGGAAAATCTATGTTATCTGAAATTCACATAACCAGATGAATCCTCCTTTTCTTTAGTAGAATCCTTATGGTCCAGTTTAATGGGCATTTGTTGTTGACTGCACAATAACAGAACCCAAACCCAGATCCTCCATACTTTCAGGAAATCTACATCTTCTAAGGCAGAAGCTGTCTGTCATTATCCTTTAACATATAATCAAAATAAAATAAATAACTATTTATAAACACTACATTTCCTTCACCTAGAGTAGAGATGCATGTCTTGGTGCCCTCAATCAGGCAGATGTACTCATTATGAATTGGCTACAAAGAAACAAAAACTGTGAGAAATTTAGTTTTGTAGAGAGTAGAGACAACAGCAGGAGCTGCAGCAGTCATACCTACATCTGAGGGCAAATGTGACATTTATGACTTGTGTCCAATTTTTGAGGCAAACTAAGGAGCCATCTGTGGCATCTAGTGCCCTGAGGAAGGGAGTATATGACAAGAGTGTTTTCCCTGGATTAGCTGGGGATTTGAAATGGAGCTGTTATTTACTTTGGAGTTATTAATTCTGCTTCTCTGATCTGCCTGGAGATTTTGTGAGCTACCTGCCCCCCCGCCCCCCCCCACACACCTCCACTACCAATTTCTTTTTGGATAAATTATTCTTCTGTTAAACCAACCAAAGTTGGTTTCTGTTGTTTGCAATTAAGAAACCATGATTGAGACCACACAC